CATCGTTATGTGTTTTATACATAGAACTGATTAATAAAACATTTAGTACTTTATCGGGATATAAATGTTCATCATGTGACCTAATAGTTCGATACTCATTGGACCAATAGCTCATAAACTATTAATGAGTTCKAGAACGTTAATTATCGAAGGAAACAGTTCGTGTTAAACTTTCCCAAATCAACAYATCAAAAGATTTTACTCTTTGAAAATGATCGGTAAAACGTTGGTGGTTGCTTTAATACTGCTGGAATCATTTTTAATTGCCGAAGGTAACTAAGTAGAAATTTTTCAGTTGTAATAATAATAGTAATAATAATGATAATGACAATAATCTTTATTGGTATCGTCCATTAAACTGAAACATAGAACCAATTCAGCTTCAATTTGAAGTTAACTTAGCATTCACTAGCGACTCAATCAGGTCAAGCTAGGTAGCAGTCACAATTTAAAGTTGTACCAGCGTTGCGTTTGGTTTTCAGTCTTTTTTTTTGAGCGGTCTAAACGTCAGGCAGTCGAAAATCTTAAAGTCCCGATCTTGTGACTAAATTGACTATACAAGCTTGTCGATCAGTATTATTTCAGTCTTTATTGCATTTCCCTAGTTGTATTTATTGAGAAGAGCGATAGATAGATAGATACTTTATTAAAATTTACATTGGCAGCCAGTGGCTGAATTGTAGTAGACATATTTAAAAAGAATGTGACTATTCAAAATATGTACAAAACTTTTACTTTATCCTATAAAAGGACGAGAAAACAAGGGGAAAGTATAAAAATATAATTGAAAAGATATAAATATACGATGGATAAAATTCGGAAAGACCGTCTTTCCGAATTTTATCCATCGTATATTTATATCCTTTTCAATTATATTTTTATATTTTTGTGTTTACAAAGAATTATTTCGGGACAATTATTATATAATAAGTTAGAGTAGATTAAAATTCATGGCTAACCCTATTTAGGCCTTAACTAAAAATAAAACTATCTTTACATCAATTTTTGGAAATTGATACACTAAAAGTTCTTGTGTTCCTAAGGGAATACACGTGCTTACGACGTTCGGGAAGGAGATGGTGAAGTCTGTGATGAGGGTTTGCAGTTACATCGTTAGAAAATTTAGTTGCTAGTGACTCTGTACGATCATATACAGAATGAAGGTCACTAAGTTCGAGGGCTTCACTGTATGAAGATAACATTATACGCATTGGCTCGTCTTTGAATTCTCTCTAAGTCATCGCTAAGATATTTTGGTTGAGCTCTATGAAATGACTCAAACATACATATTCAAGAATAGACCGAATGCACGTGATATAAAATAAAATCACTTCCTTGGAGGCAACTTGTTATCTCTTGAGCTGTCTTAAAAGTAGAGCCTTGAGGAAGCTTTCTTAAGAAGTTCTGTAATGTGACTAGGGTTCCACTTTARGTCGTTACTAAYATGTAARYCAARAACTTTGGCAGTGTCGAWCACTYGYAAMGRKKTKTKKTKYWC